TGAAAAATTTTCTGTACGATAATTCCTGGCCATTTCCTAGTTCTGAATCGTTCTCTGGTTTCATACTATCCTTTTGCTCTGAGTTGTTCTCTAATGCTGAATCGCCTGCATCATTCGAATTTTTAATATCATACATTTGTAATTCGAATTCTAAATTAGCTAAAAGATTTCAAAATTTTATTAATGATACAAATCATTTATTTAAATAGTTATTACGCAAAAAATATTACCAAGATTTTTTACTACAAATACAACTAGAAAATCGCCTTCCGGACTAATTGCAAAATACTTTAAAGGTTCATTTTTTTCGTCTTCGGGTTTCTTTTCATCTTTGTCTTCAGGTTCCTTTTCTTCAGTTGTAACTTCGACAATAAAGTCTTCATTTTGACTAGTTGATGCTGACATAATAATATATGTAATTTATTTCTTACTATTATCACTTGATTATAACGGTCAATATTGCACATTAATGAGTTGAATAAGGATTGAGCAAAATTTTATTGCATTTAAAAATATCTTACGTGGCTTAAAATGCTTAAAAAAATATTTATTTTCCATGATTTAAGAAATCAATATTTTTATTTTATTTATCATGAATAGTAGTGGCTTGGCTACGATATATTTTGATGTGACTACCAAGAAATATAGACCTTGCATATATGGAATGTTCACGAACCGAGCCTCCAACCCAGTCCGTTGGCAAAATATATGCCCAACCTTAATTAATAATATAATTTGGATAATTTTTATGGGATGACTAGAGTTGGAATCGATGAGTTTCGAGCATTGTTTAATAATTTCGAGCATCGAGTGACGAAAATTCGAATGTTCATTTAGTTTTTTAAAATATCAAAAACATATAAAAAACTTGGTGTAACATAAAATTTTTATCAATGGCTTAGTTTTTTTTATTCATAATAATCAAAAAATTATCATAATCAAAACAAATAGTTAATTTTTAGCCTTGACTGATGTTCGAATTAAAAAACTCAATGAAAGCTCAAATTTTTGATCGATGATCGAATAATTCTTCATCGATTCCACCCTTTAGAGATGACAAAAGACGAGACTTAATCCAAACAGCGGGCAAGTTCGAATCCGTGTATCTGAATTAATTTCTTTTTGTCAATTTTTCGCGTGAAAAAAAAAAATAGTTTACCAATTGAGTTACCAAACGTTTTATTTATTTATTTCAATTTACTAGGTTAGGTATTACCACGACCTTTTTTTTTTTTTTGCCAAACCAACCTGAAGTTGCAACGTTAGATATATAAAGTTGATCTGACCAAAATTATGCCTCTGAAATTAGATTTTCATACATATAACTCTGGTTATCATATAGATAGTAACTTTAGATACGACACATATCTGTATAATTTTGGTTGATTCTGTAGACCGCTTTTGTATTTACTACGTAGTTTCAACAAGAATTGATCGTTTACAAATATATAATATTGTAATACAGTATACATTTACGGCTAGAGATGTACCTTGCGCAAGGTAAAACTATGTAGCATATATTCCACAGATCATAGGATCTTGCGCGAGGTGCAAGGTAACGTCATCTAAAGCGGAATTTTGAATCTAGCCAATCTATTAGTTCCAGTAATATCTAATTAACTTGATTTATCTTATTATATAATATGCAATTTTATCGGTTTTTTGGTGATATAGTATTAAAATAATTAAAAAAAATTTATTCGATTTATTGATTTATATAAGTGTTTAATAAATTACATAGGAACTTAGCTAATTAATTATTTTAATCAAAAACTTTGATAAATTATTAATGCCGAGTTTTTTAAATTAAGGATCTACCTTGCGCAAGGTATGGTGTAATAACTTGCCGAGGATGAAATCATTACTGTAGTATAACAACCGAATTAGTGGTTGCTTTGATCAGCCTAATTACCCGTGACATCAGAATTTGTGACGTCGAAAATCCAATCTTTTACCCGTGACATAATCGTTAAGAATCTTAACAATCATCGATCGCCGCCAGAAGTTGTGATTACGTAACACGTGATATCGTTAAGAATCTTAGCGATCGAACTTGAATATTGAAACACCGACTGCCGCAGTTGTCGATGATTAGTGTTGAATTTCCGATATAACCAAGGCATATATAAGTCAAAGAAGACTTATCTTAATCTCGGTAACATTATTCCAAGACTCAAAAGACTCGAGCCTCGGACAAAGTCTTTCCCCGCCATCTTTCCGCCTTCCAATCTTCCAATTCAAGGTTCTAGGTGTCTTGACGTTTGAGATTAGATTGTTTAGTTGATAGTTTAGTGTTTTTAGTTAGTTTTTATATTAGAACAATTAGTCCCCACTTTCTCAACGTACGTACGAATAGTACAATATTTATAGTGTGTAACACGAGTTTCCTTATGTCAAGAAAATGATCTACATCCAATTTTGATAATATTATATCCATATATTGTTTATTTTAGTATAAAAAACTCTTTCTATAAGTAAAATTCAATGCT